CCATGCTTATGCCGCCCCAAACCATTACCGATCCTCCTTCATAACTGAGTCTTGTGGAAAAATTTGCTTGGTCAAACCTTTCGCCTCTTCTTCGGTATATTCTTTCACGGCCATCAGGAGAACGTAAACAAAACCTTGACTCGTCAGAAAATAAAATCATACTCCATTCATCGATATTCCAATGTTATTGCTCCCTGGCAAATCAAAGACGTGCTGTTCTGTGATTCCTAAGTAACTCTGGACCAGTTGCAGGTCTTCTGGAGCGTAATCCATGTTCTCGTAATCGCCTTCGAATCGTTATTTCGTTAACAGCTAGTTGACGTACTTCTTCTAAACGGTTTCGAGCCATGACAGCAGTAGTATTTCTTTCTCGCAAAACATTTAATGTCATAAAACGATCATCTCGAACATTTGTAGAACGTCGTCTGCCAGATTCTCTTCGTCTCGAAAAACTACCAGTTTCATTAAAACCTTGTACAACTCTCTGGACGCTACACCTTGTAACACCCAATATTCTAGAAGTATAATACTGAGTCCTACCGTCTTGTACCAGAGCAACTGCTCATGTTGCATCAGTAAGCGTTAAAACCATGGTATTATGCTGATAATGAATAATAATTAAACTGCAATTGCCAAGTAACGAATATTTGACAGTTGTCATATTGTGAGTTGGCCACAGCACTCTACTTATTTTGTAGTTTATTCTGTACCGTCATTTAAATTATGACCGTTTCTAAAATGTAGCATTTTCTTTAAACCGTCACATTTCACAAAAAATAGGATATCGGGGTAAATAAAAAAAAAGTGTTGGTAACAAATCAGTCTTCTTGATAAAGTTAATTGTATGCAGATCTACTAGCAGAATTAACCTACAGGGTGTGTCAAAAGTAGAGGAAAAAAATTTTTTTTTTCCCCCCCCCCGTATATACTAAATTACTTTTAGATGTCCGATTAATAATCTTAAAACTACAGTATTTTATCTAAAAGTTGCTAAAAACTTCAAATAAATAAGCCTTTGAAAGTTAGAGCATTTTTATATAAATCATTATTTTGAATGGATCAAATTTTAGGTCGGTGAATGTATTTTACTACAAACATTTTTAACTTCAAATTATTACTTTCGAGTTACACAAAAAAGTACATTTCTGAATTAGTTAAGTTCGTTTCCATATTTAAAGAGACCAGAAAAAACTAAAATTAGTCATGTTATTGTACAATGATTTTACTGCTAAAATATAACGTTTAAATTTTTATTTTTGAGCATTTTGGAGATAAAAAATGAAACTAAAGGGGGTTTTAAGTAACTTCAATACGTTATAATGAGGATAACTTAATTCCAACTGAATTTTTAAAAGCTATATATTATGTTGGTACTTTTATATATCTGTGCCTATCAGTACAAAAGTAATGCTTTGAATCAATTTTGCCTAGAGTCTAGCGATTATGATGTTGGTACGGCATGCAGTGATTAATTAAAAAGTAATGATTATATTTGGTTATAAATATGGACTTGTAAGTACATTTTTAGTGTAGTGTACACGCATAACATGTAACTTTTAAAAATATGCTTAGTTTAAAAATAATATAAAAACAGTTAATTTTAGTAATAAAATCATCTAGTAAAAATTAAGAGCATATAATTATTTTTTTGTGCTTTTTCCAAATATGGATACAAATTTAACGACTTGTAGTGTGTTCTTATAAGGATAGACAAATTTTTAAATTTTTTTGAAAAGATGGAACTGCATTTTGTTTCTTATTAATACGTTAAAAGATTATGGTAAGTTGTAGAGAATACATGTGCCAAATTTCAATAACATATAAGGGTGGTTAGTAAGTTATGAAACAAAAAAGAAATTGGCAAAGTTAATAAAACTACCTGTATATCGGTTATAAATGACGAAAGAATTATTAAGTAAGGTTATTTGGAATAATATCAGTAGCATAAAAAAACTAAGTATTAAAAAAAAGAGTGAAGTAAAACTTCGTAGATTAATTCACTCTAAAATAAAAAAAGACAAATAAAATCCGCGTACATCAATATTTATCGCTACTTGAACATACTATTAAGGTTATAACTCTAAACAGCAAGGCACCGACGATGCACGAAAGACGATCGTTTGCAGTCGAAATTGGAGTTCAAGTGAAGGACTAGGCTGTTAAGGTGTCAGGAAATCTAAATTTGTCGTTTTTATAAGATAGCTCATCATTTTTTTATGTTAGGTTGAAACGTAAGAAGTGCTAATTATTTATTTTAATCTATGTTATAATTTATTTAATTTTTTTTATTAACTTTGATTTAAATTGATTTACATTGATTTAAATTGATTTATATTGATTTAAATTGATTTAAATTGATTTAAATTGATTTAAATTGATTTAAATTAATTTAAATTGATTTAAATTGATTTAAATTGATTTAAGTTGATTTAAATTGATTTAAATTGATTTAAATTGATTTAAATTGATTTAAATTGATTTAAATTGATTTAAATTGATTTAAATTGATTTAAATTGATTTAAATTGATTTAAATTGATTTAAATTAATTTAAATTGATTTATATTGATTTAAATTGATTTAAATTGATTTAAATTGATTTAAATTGATTTAAATTGATTTAAATTGATTTAAATTGATTTAAATTGATTTAAATTGATTTAAATTGATTTAAATTGATTTAAATTGATTTAAATTGATTTAAATTGATTTAAATTGATTTAAATTGATTTAAATTGATTTAAATTGATTTAAATTGATTTAAATTGATTTAAATTGATTTAAATTGATTTAAATTGATTTAAATTGATTTAAATTGATTTAAATTGATTTAAATTGATTTAAATTGATTTAAATTGATTTAAATTGATTTAAATTGATTTAAATTGATTTAAATTGATTTAAATTTAAATAACTTTAAATAAATTTATTTAACACCTTGAGTACGAACGTGACGAAAAAAAAGTCATGTTAAAGGATGGGAAATTTTTTGACCCTCATATTACTTTGGATGAAGTCTATTTTTTATATTTTATTTATTATTTTTTTTAAGTTTTTGTCAAATATTTCATTTTTTTTTCTGGATGTACATTGATGCCTCCCCACAGAATTTGTCTCTTACTTTCAAGGCCAGTGAAACTTTTCTAATACTATAGATGGCTAAAAGTGAGTTCTTATGTTTGTAGCATTATAGTGAGACGTATTATAAAACCACGCCTTCCTTGCTAATTTTCTGACTGTTGCAAGTGTGGCACCATATTGATGTCTCGCCGTCTCAAAAAGGACAAGCAGTGAGGCATCCGTTAAATGCCACACCGTACTGAACATGTTAAATTTATTTAAATTTATTTTAATTTAATTTATTTTAATTTATTTTAATTTATTTTAATTTATTTTAATTTATTTTAATTTATTTTAATTTATTTTAATTTATTTTAATTTATTTTAATTTATTTTAATTTATTTTAATTTATTTTAATTTATTTTAATTTATTTTAATTTATTTTAATTTATTTTAATTTATTTTAATTTATTTTAATTTATTTTAATTTATTTTAATTTATTTTAATTTATTTTAATTTATTTTAATTTATTTTAATTTATTTTAATTTATTTTAATTTATTTTAATTTATTTTAATTTATTTTAATTTATTTTAATTTATTTTAATTTATTTTAATTTATTTTAATTTATTTTAATTTATTTTAATTTATTTTAATTTATTTTAATTTATTTTAATTTATTTTAATTTATTTTAATTTATTTTAATTTATTTTAATTTATTTTAATATATTTTAATTTAATTTCGTGTGATTTCTTTTAATATAAATTAGTCATCGTTCACTCACCCATTGTTGATACACCTTGTATCAATATAGATGCATATAATATATATTTATTAAATAGTCACAGAGAGTGAATGCATTTAAGAAACTTGTTGGCTTCATGCGAAACCCAAGAAAAAATTTTGGCAGCTTATGTGTTAACATAAAATAGATCTTAAAATGAAAATCCAAATATATCTAAAATAAATTTTTTGGATGTCACATAACCTAGTGTGTAAAGTTCTAATATACTCTATGGTGGATGTCAGATAGTTGGGTGAGTAAGTTTTAATATACTGAATGTTGGATGTCAGACAGTCGAGTGAGTAAATTCTAATATACTTAATGGTGGATGTTATACAGTCGAGGGACTGAAATATTTAATATACAAAATATACAAAACCAACTGACGCGAGCGCCACCTTCGCATCTATACACTGGAACTAAATATATACATAAAATTGAAAATTAAGCATTATGACATCCAGCTGAAATTTTTTTGGCGCCCTTTTAAACCTACTTTATGATGTTTGAACCCCAAAAACGTTGTGACATCCGAATTTGGATGTCACATCGCAGACGGATGTTATAAAGATAGCAACATTTTTGCGACATGATGTCACAACGTCGGCAGGACGAATCTATATATATATATATATATATATATATATATATATATATATATATATATATATATATATATATTCGTTTCTTCACTTTACTAAATGATTCCATTATTGTTTGTCTTTTATTTACTGTTTTATATCTAAAACCATGTTTTTTTAAATCTTCGAAACAGAACATAACTCAAGGACATGTTTCTTTTTTAAATCTGCTAGAATACCTCCAAGATTTGGCATGATGTTTAGTGTGTACATACTGTAGATTGTTTCACATATTGGCGCTAACTGATGTGAATTGATTCATATGGCATTCCTGAATTTCTTTTTCGTCTCCTTGCTCTTAGTTTTATGATTTTGTAAACTATAAGGAGTATTTGTTAGAAACACTGTTTCCTGTATAGCATCTTTTTGGGGCATTCCTTGACTACAAAGCCGGTTAAAACAGTTAAAATAACATTTTTAGCGTCTTCTGATAAATGTTGCTCTTTGAGTTTAACTGTGTGAACTATATTTTGCGAAATAGGTTCTGGTAGAACATCTACCCAATCTGCAAACTAATTTGTTGATGGTTGATCTTTTTGCCATGGTCGCCACATATCGTACGATTCAAAACCTTTTAAGTTGAACCTTGCAAAATACAAATATTCTTTTGATTGAAATTAATATTCAATTTCACAATTTAAAAAAAATTCAATAAGAAGGGTGGCTTACTGATATATCAAGTATGGTAATTAACGTGGACCGGTTTATTAAATTTTAATAAACCATTTTAAAATACAAACAAATAGAACGCTTAGCGCAAATTTAAACCCGAAAAATTAACATCAAAAGAATAAAACGAATTTTTTTGTCTACTGGTGCTTCCTTGTTCTGTGGGTTTCGGTAAAGTCAGTTTTGTATCAGTTTTTAGAAGTCAGGAACATCAGGAAAAGAAAACAAAGTCTGCATAGATTTTCTCCTTCAATAACTGACTTCATATTCCTTAGTTTGAATTCCTAAAACTTTAGCCACATAGTAGACTACGTCTTTGTTTCCCTGAAATTCAACCAACATAAAATCCCCTATGACCGGATCTGTAGTCAGCGGACCTCATTTTTCTTTTACTAACATCTCTTCGTCCGAAAAGTTATCACTTAATTCGTCACTTTCCAGGATTACTATAATAATAATAATAATAAATACGTTTATTACTCAATAATATTATGTAAACGTAACAAATAAGTTATACACGAAACATTGAGTAAATGGCATTTAGCTCAGTGCATTTAAGTCTTTTAAACTAAAATGTCTGTTCTTCCGCTAAAGCCTGATTATTCTTAACTAATAACAAACATTGAATTAACAATAAATGAAAAAAAATCTTATTTAAGAGACATATAAAAAATATACTAATACTAAACACGCTAAAATTAAGGTAAAAACAGATAATATAAGAACAAAATAACAATAAATGTATCTGTGATAACCTAAATAATAAAGAAAAAATTGATAAGGACAATACAACAATAAGAGTTAGCATCATAAAGTAAGTAGGTGATTTTTGTAGTTCATTTTAAAGCTATTTGGAGAAAGTGTGATATTAAAAAGATTATTTTCCATTAGATTATTTGCAGATTTTGCCACGTTGTATGAAAATGTTCGTTTAAATATTTCTTTACGATGGGAAGGTATAGTAAGCATTTGCTTTCGTCGTATATTTACATTGTGGACATCAGTACGATATTTAATCTTTTTATGTAAATATGCTGGAGTTTTGAACTTTATAATTTTAAATATAAAAGAAGCAAAATGCATTTTTCGGCGATTATGCATATTAAGCCATTTCAAATTTTTAAGTTTATACGTTACTCTATGCCTACGTCTAATGCCGTAAATTAATCTAATGCAAGAATTTTGTATTTTTTGAATACGGGCTTTGTCAGCAGCGTCTAGACATGAACCATACACTGTATCACAATGATCAAACAGCGATAGTATAAGTGAGTCGCATAATTTTTTTTTTATGTTAACATCCAAAAATTGTCTTTGGGGATAAATTGCTTTTAGTGCACAATATGACAGTTTTAGTTTAGATGTGATATGGTCTTTAAATCTTAACTTATTATCAACAACTAGTCCCAAACTTTTTCCATTGCTATTAAAAGGAATGATTTCAGATTCTATTTTTAGTTGCATCTGGTTTTGTACTGCAATTCTTACAGATTCCTTACAGAATAGTAGGGCAGACGATTTAAGTGGATTTAATTTTAGAAGGTGATTGGACGAGGTTTTTGCTAAATTCTTTAAATCACTATTAATTAAATTAGAAGATTCTACTAAATTTTCATATTTAAAAGAAAAGTATATTTGCGTATCATCAGCATAAAAGTGATAGTTACAATATTTTAGAGAGTATTGAAAGTTACTAGTATAAATAGTGTATAATAGTGGACCAAGAATACTGCCTTGAGGAACTCCTAGTTTTAATTTAATTTTTTGAGATTTGTTTTTGCCTATTTGTACTCTTTGATATCTATCGCTTAAAAAAGATTTTATTAAGTTAGTAGCTGCATTAGAAAATCCCAGATAATGAGTGATTGACAGCAGTATTTGATGATTTAACATATCAAAGGCTTTCGAATAATCTAGTAAAACTAGTACACTTATTTTATTGTTATCTTCCGCTTGAATTAAATCATCAACTACGTCAGCAAGGGCAGTGGCACAACTATGTCCACTGCGAAACCCAGATTGTTTTATAGGTAATAAATTAAATTTATTTAGATGTTCTCTTATTTGCCTATCTAAAATCTTCTCCAATACTTTCGATAAGACGGGCAGAATACTAATAGACCTTAAATGATTTAGATCAGTAGGTGAGCTAATTTTAGGTATCGGAATAACATTAGCGAATTTCCACTCCAAAGGAAAATAAGAGGACAAAATTGACTGATTTATAATATTTGTAATATAAGGAATTATAAAAGGAGAGAAAAGTAACAATATATCGATATTCATATTATCGGTACCATAAGCTTTAGATTTAATATTTAAAATTATATTTGATACAATTTCTTCTGTAACAAGCGTGAATGCAAGAGGATCATTTATATTATTTTTTATTTGAGAATTGTAGTGACTAATTATGTCATAATTCGGTTGTTTATTTTCGATGCTAGTAAAATAATTGTTAATAATTTCAACATTATTTAAATGAGTAGGAATATCGTTATTTTTATTTTTTGTAATATTTAATTTTTTTAATTCATTCCAAGTTTGTTTAGTATTTGAATTTGCAAATTTATTTCGGAGATATGCCTTTTTTTCATTTTTTATTGCATTAGTTGTAAAGTTTCTAAGTTGTTTGTAATAAGACCAATTAGCTGGAGTACTATAAGTTTTGAATTTTCTTAATGCTTTGTCTCTTAGATTTTGCATGAATTTTATGTTTTCAGTAATCCATGGCGCATATGGTTTTTTACCTGGAAGGTCAGATTCCGATGAAGAACTTTGCTGGGGCAGGGGCGTTATGGTGCCGAAGCAATGATATCAAAACCTGAATTTAAATCATGTACAATATTCAATGAAAATTTAGTAGCCATAGAATTGCACAAACTAGAGATATTTTTGAACAAACCTATTTATATTGGAATGAGCATTTTGGATTTGGCTAAGACAACTATTTATGACTTCCATTACGGGTACATGAAAAGTGAATTTGGAAATAATTGTTCCATTTTATACACGGATACGGACAGTCTAATCTATGAAATTCGAGATCATGATCCATATGAAATTATAAAACGTTATTGCACGCAATATTTTGATACTTCAGACTATTCACTAAACAACGTTTACGGAATTCCTCAAGTAAATAAAAAAGTACTAGGTATGATGAAAGATGAGAACAATGGTATACCAATGACTGATTTTATTGGTCTTCGTACGAAATTATATACTGTAAAAATTGTTAAAACTCCTGGCCGTCTTTATTCCTTCCTTGGCTTTGTTTTTTTTTTATTTCTACCCTTCTTTGTTTCTCTATTTTAGTCTTTGCAATTTCTTCTTTTTCTGGGGTATCGGTTGCAATTAGACTTCTTCCCTTTTTCTGGTCATTCTGATAGTTTTTTTGGGTTGAGCTTTCAGAGGTAGTCTAAAGTTGGAAGGTGATACGAATATTTCTGTAGTCTGCTCTTCTAAACTTCCCAGTAAAAGATTAGCAGATGTATTTTCACGCATAGCTTCATTTTCTTCTACCAAAATATTCGAAGGACCAGCTTCATTGATGCTATTGTCAAAATGTCTGTCTGTAATTGAACTTGGTAAAAAATCAATCTCTGTAAAAATAGTTTTATCAAACGGAAAAATTCCTGTCTTTTTAAAGGCATTCGTGATAGATTGAGGTGTTAGGGCCTTTTGGTTTGCTTCGCCAATGAAGGCACCTAACTCATAAATGGTTACGGGTTGACCTGGATGACTAACTAACCACCATTCCATACTCGCATTGTAAAATGTCTTAAATGGTTTAAATAAAGCTACACCAAGAGATTGCGCCTTGTGTGAAGAGTGAAGTGATAATGTGAGAATGGTTACCACATTTGATTTAGCCATTTCTAGTGCCCCTACTGAGAAGTGGGACTCGTGGTTGTCAAATATTAGAAGAGATGGATTTTCTTTAGAGGAAGAACTATGCTTTATAAAATGTTTGATGACCTCGGGAAACAATTCAGAGTTCATCCAGCCACTTAGTGCTGCTAAGTCTAAAGTTCCAGGAGGTGTTCCTTTAGTCATAAAATGTTTGAAATTCTTCCTAGGAAAAATTACTACTGGTGAAAGTGGTTGTCCATTGGCGCAAACTATAGCGCATGTTGTAGTTAATGTCCCCTTTTCGACACTAGTTACTTTGGAAATACATCTTATACCTTTGGGTGCAATCACTTTTTGAGGTTTTTGTACAGTCGTCATCGCCGTTTCATCCAAGTTGTATACTGAGTGCCATCTGCAAAACTTGAGTATCATTTTAAAACATTTTCAAGGTTTTCAAAGTATTTTTGAACGTTCATCCGATTGAACCTTGAAGCCCTTGCTAAACTACAAGGCTCCGGAGCTCTTAGAGTCAATTCTGGATGTCTTGATCGAAAAGATCTTAACCATTCAACTACGGAAATTTTGTCTCGTACACGTACACGTACACGTACACGTACACGTACACGTACACGTACACGTACACGTACACGTACACGTACACGTACACGTACACGTACACGTACACGTACACGTACACGTACACGTACACGTACACGTACACGTACACGTACACGTACACGTACACGTACACGTACACGTACACGTACACGTACACGTACACGTACACGTACACGTACACGTACACGTACACGTACACGTACACGTACACGTACACGTACACGTACACGTACACGTACACGTACACGTACACGTACACGTACACGTACACGTACACGTACACGTACACGTACACGTACACGTACACGTACACGTACACGTACACGTACACGTACACGTACACGTACACGTACACGTACACGTACACGTACACGTACACGTACACGTACACGTACACGTACACGTACACGTACACGTACACGTACACGTACACGTACACGTACACGTACACGTACACGTACACGTACACGTACACGTACACGTACACGTACACGTACACGTACACGTACACGTACACGTACACGTACACGTACACGTACACGTACACGTACACGTACACGTACACGTACACGTACACGTACACGTACACGTACACGTACACGTACACGTACACGTACACGTACACGTACACGTACACGTACACGTACACGTACACGTACACGTACACGTACACGTACACGTACACGTACACGTACACGTACACGTACACGTACACGTACACGTACACGTACACGTACACGTACACGTACACGTACACGTACACGTACACGTACACGTACACGTACACGTACACGTACACGTACACGTACACGTACACGTACACGTACACGTACACGTACACGTACACGTACACGTACACGTACACGTACACGTACACGTACACGTACACGTACACGTACACGTACACGTACACGTACACGTACACGTACACGTACACGTACACGTACACGTACACGTACACGTACACGTACACGTACACGTACACGTACACGTACACGTACACGTACACGTACACGTACACGTACACGTACACGTACACGTACACGTACACGTACACGTACACGTACACGTACACGTACACGTACACGTACACGTACACGTACACGTACACGTACACGTACACGTACACGTACACGTACACGTACACGTACACGTACACGTACACGTACACGTACACGTACACGTACACGTACACGTACACGTACACGTACACGTACACGTACACGTACACGTACACGTACACGTACACGTACACGTACACGTACACGTACACGTACACGTACACGTACACGTACACGTACACGTACACGTACACGTACACGTACACGTACACGTACACGTACACGTACACGTACACGTACACGTACACGTACACGTACACGTACACGTACACGTACACGTACACGTACACGTACACGTACACGTACACGTACACGTACACGTACACGTACACGTACACGTACACGTACACGTACACGTACACGTACACGTACACGTACACGTACACGTACACGTACACGTACACGTACACGTACACGTACACGTACACGTACACGTACACGTACACGTACACGTACACGTACACGTACACGTACACGTACACGTACACGTACACGTACACGTACACGTACACGTACACGTACACGTACACGTACACGTACACGTACACGTACACGTACACGTACACGTACACGTACACGTACACGTACACGTACACGTACACGTACACGTACACGTACACGTACACGTACACGTACACGTACACGTACACGTACACGTACACGTACACGTACACGTACACGTACACGTACACGTACACGTACACGTACACGTACACGTACACGTACACGTACACGTACACGTACACGTACACGTACACGTACACGTACACGTACACGTACACGTACACGTACACGTACACGTACACGTACACGTACACGTACACGTACACGTACACGTACACGTACACGTACACGTACACGTACACGTCTTACACGTACACGTACACGTACACGTACACGTACACGTACACGTACACGTCGTACACGTACACGTACACGTACACGTACACGTACACGTACACGTACACGTACACGTACACGTACACGTACACGTACACGTACACGTACACGTACACGTACACGTACACGTACACGTACACGTACACGTACACGTACACGTACACGTACACGTACACGTACACGTACACGTACACGTACACGTACACGTACACGTACACGTACACGTACACGTACACGTACACGTACACGTACACGTACACGTACACTACACGTACACGTACACGTACACGTACACGTACACGTACACGTACACGTACACGTACACGTACACGTACACGTACACGTACACGTACACGTACACGTACACGTACACGTACACGTACACGTACACGTACACGTACACGTACACGTACACGTACACGTACACGTACACGTACACGTACACGTACACGTACACGTACACGTACACGTACACGTACACGTACACGTACACGTACACGTACACGTACACGTACACGTACACGTACACGTACACGTACACGTACACGTACACGTACACGTACACGTACACGTACACGTACACGTACACGTACACGTACACGTACACGTACACGTACACGTACACGTACACGTACACGTACACGTACACGTACACGTACACGTACACGTACACGTACACGTACACGTACACGTACACGTACACGTACACGTACACGTACACGTACACGTACACGTACACGTACACGTACACGTACACGTACACGTACACGTACACGTACACGTACACGTACACGTACACGTACACGTACACGTACACGTACACGTACACGTACACGTACACGTACACGTACACGTACACGTACACGTACACGTACACGTACACGTACACGTACACGTACACGTACACGTACACGTACACGTAAACGTACACGTACACGTACACGTACACGTACACGTACACGTACACGTACACGTACACGTACACGTACACGTACACGTACACGTACACGTACCGTACACGTACACGTACACGTACACGTACACGTACACGTACACGTACACGTACACGTACACGTACACGTACACGTACACGTACACGTACACGTACACGTACACGTACACGTACACGTACACGTACACGTACACGTACACGTACACGTCACGTACACGTACACGTACACGTACACGTACACGTACACGTACACGTACACGTACACGTACACGTACTCGTACACGTACACGTACACGTAACACGTACACGTACACGTACACGTACACGTACACGTACACGTACACGTACTACGTACACGTACACGTACACGTACACGTACACGTACACGTACACGTACACGTACACGTACACGGTACACGTACACGTACACGTACACGTACACGTACACGTAACTCACGTACACGTACACGTAACGTACACGTACACGTACACGTACACGTACACGTACACGTACACGTACACGTACACGTACACGTACACGTACACGTACACGTACACGTACACGTACACGTACACGTACACGTACACGTACACGTACACGTACACGTACACGTACACGTACACGTACACGTACACGTACACGTACACGTACACGTACACGTACACGTACACGTACACGTACACGTACACGTACACGTACACGTACACGTACACGTACACGTACACGTACACGTACACGTACACGTAACACGTACACGTACACGTACACGTACACGTACACGTACACGTACACGTACACGTACACGTACACGTACACGTACACGTACACGTACACGTACACGTACACGTACACGTACACGTACACGTACACGTACACGTACACGTACACGTACACGTACACGTACACGTACACGTACACGTACACGTACACGTACACGTACACGTACACGTACACGTACACGTACACGTACACGTACACGTACACGTACACGTACACGTACACGTACACGTACACGTACACGTACACGTACACGTACACGTACACGTACACGTACACGTACACGTACACGTACACGTACACGTACACGTACACGTACACGTACACGTACACGTACACGTACACGTACACGTACACGTACACGTACACGTACACGTACACGTACACGTACACGTACACGTACACGTACACGTACACGTACACGTACACGTACACGTACACGTACACGTACACGTACACGTACACGTACACGTACACGTACACGTACACGTACACGTACACGTACACGTACACGTACACGTACACGTACACGTACACGTACACGTACACGTACACGTACAACGTACACGTACACGTACACGTACACGTACACGTACACGTACACGTACACGTACACGTACACGTACACTACACGTACACGTACACGTACACGTACACGTACACGTACACGTACACGTACACGTACACGTACACGTACACGTACACGTACACGTACACGTACACGTACACGTACACGTACACGTACACGTACACGTACACGTACACGTACACGTACTACACGTACACGTACACGTACACGTACACGTACACGTACACGTACACGTACACGTACACGTACACGTACACGTACACGTACACGTACACGTACACGTACACGTACACGTACACGTACACGTACACGTACACGTACACGTACACGTACACGTACACGTACACGTACACGTACACGTACACGTACACGTACACGTACACGTACACGTACACGTACACGTACACGTACACGTACACGTACACGTACACGTACACGTACACGTACACGTACACGTACACGTACACGTACACGTACACGTACACGTACACGTACACGTACACGTACACGTACACGTACACGTACACGTACACGTACACGTACACGTACACGTACACGTACACGTACACGTACACGTACACGTACACGTACACGTACACGTACACGTACACGTACACGTACACGTACACGTACACGTACACGTACACGTACACGTACACGTACACGTACACGTACACGTACACGTACACGTACACGTACACGTACACGTACACGTACACGTACACGTACACGTACACGTACCGTACACGTACACGTACACGTACACGTACACGTACACGTACACCACGTACACGTACACGTACACGTACACGTACACGTACACGTACACGTACACGTACACGTACACGTACACGTACACGTACACGTACACGTACACGTACACGTACACGTACACGTACACGTACACGTACACGTACACGTAACACGTACACGTACACGTACACGTACACGTACACGTACACGTACACGTACACGTACACGTACACGTACACGTACACGTACACGTACACGTACACGTACACGTACACGTACACGTACACGTACACGTACACGTACACGTACACGTACACGTACACGTACACGTACACGTACACGTACACGTACACGTACACGTACACGTACACGTACACACGTACACGTACACGTACACGTACACGTACACGTACACGTACACGTACACGTACACGTACACGTACACGTACACGTACACGTACACGTACACGTACACGTACACGTACACGTACACGTACACGTACACGTACACGTACACGTACACGTACACGTACAACGTACACGTACACGTACACGTACACGTACACGTACACGTACACGTACACGTACACGTACACGTACACGTACACGTACACGTACACGTACACGTACACGTACACGTACACGTACACGTACACGTACACGTACACGTACACGTACACGTACACGTACACGTACACGTACACGTACACGTACACGTACACGTACACGTACACGTACACGTACACGTACACGTACACGTACACGTACACGTACACGTACACGTACACGTACACGTACACGTACACGTACACGTACACGTACACGTACACGTACACGTACACGTACACGTACACGTACACGTACACGTACACGTACACGTACACGTACACGTACACGTACACGTACACGTACACGTACACGTACACGTACACGTACACGTACACGTACACGTACACGTACACGTACACGTACACGTACACGTACACGTACACGTACACGTACACGTACACGTACACGTACACGTACACGTACACGTACACGTACACGTACACGTACACGTACACGTACACGTACACGTACACGTACACGTACACGTACACGTACACGTACACGTACACGTACACGTACACGTACACGTACACGTACACGTACACGTACACGTACACGTACACGTACACGTACACGTACACGTACACGTACACGTACACGTACACGTACACGTACACGTACACGTACACGTACACGTACACGTACACGTACACGTACACGTACACGTACACGTACACGTACACGTACACGTACACGTACACGTACACGTACACGTACACGTACACGTACACGTACACGTACACGTACACGTACACGTACACGTACACGTACACGTACACGTACACGTACACGTACACGTACACGTACACGTACACGTACACGTACACGTACACGTACACGTACACGTACACGTACACGTACACGTACACGTACACGTACACGTACACGTACACGTACACGTACACGTACACGTACACGTACACGTACACGTACACGTACACGTACACGTACACGTACACGTACACGTACACGTACACGTACACGTACACGTACACGTACACGTACACGTACACGTACACGTACACGTACACGTACACGTACACGTACACGTACACGTACACGTACACGTACACGTACACGTACACGTACACGTACACGTACACGTACACGTACACGTACACGTACACGTACACGTACACGTACACGTACACGTACACGTACACGTACACGTACACGTACACGTACACGTACACGTACACGTACACGTACACGTACACGTACACGTACACGTACACGTACACGTACACGTACACGTACACGTACACGTACACGTACACGTACACGTACACGTACACGTACACGTACACGTACACGTACACGTACACGTACACGTACACGTACACGTACACGTACACGTACACGTACACGTACACGTACACGTACACGTACACGTACACGTACACGTACACGTACACGTACACGTACACGTACACGTACACGTACACGTACACGTACACGTACACGTACACGTACACGTACACGTACACGTACACGTACACGTACACACACGTACACGTACACATCATCATTGGCAAAATAGTCAAAACGAATTCAGGAGACCCCCAAACGTAAAAATCTGTCGAAAACTCGAGGTCGAAAAAATCATGATTCCTATACTTTCCTTATCTGTATACAGATAGAAAAGTAAAAAATAATCTGTAAAATTGGTGTACTATGAATCCCTTGCATATTATATATATCGGTCTTAGTATTACAGAAATGATTTACGTAAAACAATAAGGTGTACAAATACGTTAAATTTATTTATTCCTCGTAAAACATCAGTAAAAAATATATTATAAATTGTTTTCATTCACAAATATTAATTTTTTAAATTCTAACAGAGGTGCCACATTCCAGACGAAAAATCTTACAATGTAAGAGTTTTGTAGTACCCCACTTTTAATAGTATGTTACAAGAGTTGTAAGTAACCCATTGCGCACAAAGTAAAAAAGTTTACGCACGAAGTCGCGCAACGGCGAGTGCGTAATTTTCACGAGTGCAAAATGGAATTACAACTCGTGTAACGTACTATACTTTTTCTACGCTCACTTATTTTATTCTATTAAATAAAGGACATAATATGCTTGTGTCGCCAATCCATAAATTTTCGATAGGTAATTTCATACCTTTCTTTGGATTTTAGCGGTAACAAATTATGTGTGACAGCTTGAGCTTTATCTAAAATCTCCGGTGGAGTGCTCTTCATCACTTTCACTACTAACAGACATATTCGTAGGTAAAGTGGAGAAAGTGTTCGAATACAATAATATTTTGTTACAAAAATTGACAATATAAATGAAAAGACGTTTAATTCCATATATTTAGGAGCAATACTTTTTTAATCCAAAATGTATCTCGCTAATGCTAATAGTTTTTTTGCTTTTTAATTGACTAAATTTATGTAAATAGGCCAAATAAAGTCGTACGTGTATAAACATTTAATTGCAATTTGATTAAACTAAGAAATTTAAGGTTTCTTATAAAAACGCACGTGTATGTTATGAGATCTCATTACGTGCATGTTATTGTTAAATTTCATTTACAAGAAATATTGACTGTGCGATTTTTAACGTTTACTGACATGGGCGTAGAAAAAGTTTATTTCTTACTATTTCTAAAAGAAACAAACATGTATATGTAGGTAAATGTTTATTATATGCTTCTCTGGAACCAATTTTTTAAAATTAAATTTTGCTTTTTCTAAAAAAATTGAGAAAATGAGTAAAAAAAGTAGTTTTTTATTTTTTTTTTAAACTGAATCTAATTTTGAAAAAGTGTTTCCAGAGGAGCACAGATTTAACCTTTACCTACACGCGCATATTTTTTCTTTTAGAAAAAGTAAAAAATAAACTTTAAAAGTGGGGTACTACGAAACCCTTGCATGCTCTGCTCTAAAGCCAAGTCAATACTTCTCTTAATCTGAACGTTTAAAAAAAATCGCAGGGAAAAACAACACGATACCGCTTCAACGGCGTACTTAACGTTGGTGGAATTTACTGAAAATACACTTAATCGCCGCGTTGCCAGATTTAACTTTACTAGGCTAAAAAGTTACTTTGCAGACAATTTATTTAAATAGTTTTTCAGGAACAAATAAAAAAATTGGATTGTTGTTCAGTATATTAATTTTATTTTTATATACTCGTAAAGGAGTTACTAAGGAAGTTTTCCAGTAAGCTGGATAAACAGTCGAAAAAACAATTAGGTAAAATATATAAGGTAAAGGCACAGCTTATACAATACAGCTCCACAACTCCGTGTCGGCGTCTTTGATGTGGCGGTCGAGAACCAAGCGAGACGGAATGGTGCTATCTCTGTTAGATTCGACGGAAAAGTCGGGCCCGGATTAAAAAATATATTTATTATTGAAATAATTAAAGACCTTTGCGTAATAAGGTTGGTTACATGCCACATTAAGTAAGTTTTGATAAATTAAGTTTTAAATTTGTTTTAAATCTGTCAAATATAAATAAAAAAATTATTTAAATATAAATATTACGAATAATAGCACATCTTTCGGATTAGAGATAAAATAATTTGTATGTGGCTAGTAATATCCTTGTTAACAGATGTTTTGAGCTAAAACAGTCACTTCACGACAAATTGTGGCGTGGATGCAAATCAAGTGGTACCCCGTGTGTCTAGCAAGTGTGACTCATCGCGCAAAGGGTTTATAGTGTTTATACCTAGATAAACGACTGCTTCAACTGACTGAGGTCTGGGAACTCGATGATATTCTGGGTTATTATAAAGAATCGGTAACTTGTGCTTTTATTTTAACAATATCGGTTTTATTTAGATGTATTTTTATTCATAAAGATTTGTAGAAGTAATAATTTGACAGTTTTTATTTATATATTATATTTTTGTCTGACCGTACCGAAGTAGAGAATTTTGAAACTCGATAGTATTGTGAAATTTAAATTACAATATTATGCGAAGTTATATAATTAGTACCTATTTTAGGCAGGTACTAAATAAGTAATATCGATTTTTACAATACAACTCGAAAAGTAAATTAATTTAGTTCCTATTTACTGATGTAAACATTAAACCAAGAAAACAAATAAACAGTAGTTTGTGCAACAAGAGTGGATATGGACAATCCACTTGAGTTGTACAGTATATTTTTTCTACGACCTCCTGACGAAAATCTACAAATTAAAATAAATTATTTTAGGTTATTTAGACAAAATAACTAATTTTAAAATAATTTACGAATTTTACTAATTTATAAAATAAAAATAAAAAAAATTAATTTAATTAGTCCCCGGCCTAGATTCGACCCCGGGCTTTTCTCGTGGAAGGCAGATGCTCTGTCCTCATCTTCACCGACACTTTTAGGATTTTAGTTTTAATACTCGTAATTAAATGACATTGACGCAGCTTGTAACTTTTATATAGATCTTCCAATTTCTCCAAAAGGTCTTCCCGATTGGCTTTCATTGCCCATATCCTAGCCCTGAAAAAAATCATGTGTTTAGGTTTAAATAAGTTAATTATTAGACTACACAATTAAACAAATTTAGAATTCATAGCTCAGTAGGTAACTTTAGCACCTAGGAGGAATTAATAAAAACAGCCTAAACCTAACGTAAGTCAATAAACGAATCTGTTTATACAGGGCGTAATTGTTCCATATTTTAATTTGTGTTATAGACGTTTTTTGACTGGCAAATAAAAATTTATGTTTTTTTAATAGAACACCCTATATTTTATTTTTAGAATGGCTTGTTAACGCTATATTCAACACTAGCATGTTTTGAAAAAATATTACAGTTTTGCCAAACAATTTTTTTTTTTTTTTTAAATTAGAGACTGATGCTAACCCCAAATTAAATTATCATAATTTAGGCAGGTTTACACTGATTTAAAAATTGTTAAATATACATACTTATATGATACTAAGCTAACGAATAGTG